TCCATGTATTTGGAGGTTGTGGATGCTTCGGACTTGCCATATCTGTGGACTAGGTATGCCCAATTCAGCTTGACTGTGGTCAATCAGCTGAGCAGCAACATGTCGATAACAAAGGGTATTTTCTCTATCGTTCATTTGGGTTGATTTCGCATTTACGCTTGCCTTTTTTGTCTGTTTTCGTTTCGTTTTGTTCTCAATTCAGCTTGGATGTGGTTAATTTATGAAACGGAAACTGTGATTCTTGCATCCGGTAATGGAGCCTTTGGTTTGATTCAGTCTCACACTTCCTCCTTAGAGTGGTTGTTTTTTATGATCGCAAATTGGAACCTGATTGTCATTTTTTTGTTTTTTTTTTTGTTCCAAAACAAATGGTTACAATTTAACTTTGTTTGCCAAAAGTAGTAAGCTCGTTTTAGGATATGGGGCTTCGGGTGTAGTTAAAAGTTTTACACTTGTTTGGAATCACGGACTTGAGGGAGGGAAAAACTAAACTAGAGGAAGTATGCAATTTTGGTTCTTTTCGTTATCGGAAAAGCATTAGTTAGAGAGAAAAATTGTGACTTTAACGTTCCAAGGATCTATGGAAGGGAGGTTTCTTTTGTAGAAAATAATGCAACTTTGAGATCCTTGGATTCATCCAAGAGTTAAGATCCGAAGGAAATTCTATGTTTCCTCTTACGTGCTTGAATACCTCTACATGTATATATGGACTTGGGTTTGGTTGTGTTAAAATTAGGAATAAGCTTCCTTTGTTGTTTTTTTTATTAGTTCTCGGTTTGTTATAAATACTTTATTAATTGTGTTTCTGTGATCCTTCATGTTTTGAATTTACAGAGACTAAACACAAGTTCAATGCAAGTGAGAGTGACTGGGGTTTCACGTCATTCATGCCTCTAAGCGATTTTTTTGATGGAGAACAGTTTGTTTGCAATGATAAATGTATTATTGAAGCCAAGGTTGCAGTCCGTAAGGTGGACATAAAGAATTTTGGAGACCAAGGAACTGACAGTTCTGCACCCAGAGAGTCGGAACCTTCAAGTGTGGATTCTGTGCAATTTCCACTCTCATTACCAGTTACAACGCCTACATCTGAACAGGTGCAAGCAAATGTGAAATCGGAACAGGTGCTTGCTTTCCAGGATGCACCAAGTTCCGGAGAAGTTTGCATTAAGCCTACTGATGTCCTTGTTAACCCTTCCATAGTCAAGGGACACGAGGAAGTGCCCCCCACACCAGCTGGTAAGCTCATGGATTTTAGGGGTTTAGGGAAAATAGAGAAAGCTTTTGTTCCACTGCTAGAGGAAGTTTGTTTGTTGCATCCGTCGTTGATTGAGTGCCAAAAGAAGAGAAGCCGTACGTATATTGAATGGGCATTCACAGCTTTAGGTCGAGTTTTGCATTTTCTGAAGACTACGAAGGTGAGGGACATGACCCCAGACACCTCTGAACACGTTCAACTTCTGTGGGAGGAGCTTGAGACTTTCAAATTTGACTTGGGTTGGCTGGAACCTTATGTGCAAGCTGCTCTGGATGTGAAGAAGCTTGTGGAAAGGGCTGGGATAGTTAAAAAGCAGAGAGAGGATGTGGATGCATTGGAGATTGAAGTGAAGAGGCTAAGGGCGAGGCTAGCGGTTGCAGAGGTGGATCTAGAAGTAGCAAAAAGAGTCTTGGCAAAGGTAGAAGAAGGCTTCGGTGACACCGATATGAACAGGGAGTTAGGTTATGGGACGCATTGACCTCCTTACTTGAGAAACATCTCATTGATAATACAAGTGGTATGCAATATTTGCAACTCATTGCAAAATATAATGTATAATGTACTTGCATTTTAGTTGTGTTTATCGGTATTTTACGATATTTCAAGAGCTCAATATCGGGAGGTTCAACAAACCAAATAAAGTCCAACTCAACTCATTTACTAGCGCTAATTTTACCAATCTATGAGCTATACGACATCAGCTGAGAACTGATTCCTGGTGAGAACTAAGCTGAATCCTTATCTTGCGGCCAAAGCTTCAGGTAAAGTGCTAAATTCTTTTTGACTCCCGGTCTTGGTTTGTCCCGCTAACCAATTACGATGTGACCACGTACGGGAGTAGTAACATGGGAGAGCCTGCGCGAAAAAGCAACCACAAACCCAAAATATTTCGAATCACAGCGGAGGACCTCCCATCTCAACCGTTGCATTGGAGGCTCGGTCTCTATTCAATTTTAAACAACCAAAAGCCGGTTTAGACCAACTTGTCTAATTTATAACGACAAAATATAGAGTAAAGTGAATAGTACCAATATTAACTTTTTATTGTAAAAATATGGTTTTCGTTAAAGAGAATAGTATCGGGAGCTTTTCGTTAAAATTCCCTAAAATAAAAGCATTTTTTTAGTACAAAACCACATTTGCTCTCTGTTTCTTTTTCATTGTTGCTTATGGTTTGGTGCTCGTATCATTGGTAAACTCAAACGCGATCATAAGGTGAAGATTTTGATAGATAAAGCTAAAATAAGAAGATGTTAAAGTTGTATATATCCTCCCATTAAAGTAAAATATTTATGTCATATTTTTAAAGTATAATATCGTTGTATCAAAAAAAAAAAAAAATTAAAATAAGGAGACTTCATAGATATTATTACTATTTATTCAAAGGGAATTTATTACAAAATAAGTTATAATGGGATCCCTTCTCCCTGTCCCTGCCCATCCCTCAATACATAAGGCAATTATTATGTTTCACAACAACAAAACTGGTACAATGGCGGATAACATTTCCCTCCCTTAAAACCAACTCTCATGCAAAAGGCATTGCAATCAGGAAGATCTTCACATTTTCCCTGGCACTGTACATCGGCGCTTACTAAAAAACAATTGAAAAATCGAAATAATTAACAGGAATTTAATTTGGTGCTTAAGAGAAGGAAAGTGCAAGAAATTTAGAGGTCAAACACATATATTGACTACATACCAAGTGAACAGAAGATGGCAATAACTACTGCAACGATTAAGTTCTTGGTAATGAGGGAGAGATAACCACAGGACATTTCTATTTACTTTCGATTTCAAATTATTGTAATGCTACATATGGCTCTGAGATGGTGATGATATTTATAGGATCAGGAGCAGACCTTAATCAAGAAACATAAAATTAGGTTCATTCATGCACACACAATATTAGGTTTTTGTTTCCATCCACAATTTTGCTTTCCATTCATAGTTTTGAATATTTAATGAGATTTGATAAATAAGGTTTTGAATCATTTGACATTAAAATCTTAGTAGAAAAGAATATTACTATACTGTGGTACTAAGTGGCAATTCTACTAAGATTTTAAATACAAATGATTCAAAACTTTATTTGTCAAATCTCGTTAATTATTCGAAGCTTTGGATTGGAAGGGAAATTAATTTTTAACCTAATATTATGTGTGCATGACCCCTAATATTATGTTTCTTAATTAATATCTGCTCCTAATCCTATAAATACTGTTGGAGCAGTTATGTTTTTATTTAAATATTTAAATATATTTATGTTTTGTTTTATTACCAACATTATATACATAACAACCAATTTATTTTGGCCTTATCAATTAGATAAGGAGTTATCTCCTCTTAAATACAAAACGTGGGGTTCCTTTTCTATATAGAGAAGAAGATCAGATTATTAAACATATTCAAACCGTTTTGTCTTTTCCATTCTGAATTTGCTTTACGTTTTGACTATTATTTATGCTAATCAATATTCAAACATTTTTTACTAATATTTATTAACATAACCTGTAAAGATGCCCCTATACATAGAAAAGTACAAATCATCAGATGTACTTTATATATATTCAAACCGTTTTGCTTTTTTCTAAGCGATTACTTACGTTTTGCCTTGTCCTTTCAAGCCCTCATTAATCTCTCAAACCGTGAACGTCTCTTTCTTTTATGGTATATATAGCAATCGTTGGAATCAATGAAAGATGTGGAAAAAATATATATTTTTTATGATATATAGTTTGGGGTGTGCTATCCACACACCATTTTTTACTTCTCACACACCCTTGTTAATTTCTATCCGTTGATCTTCTTCAATTCATTTGATCCGACGGCCGAAAACCAAAAATGTGTGAGAGAAGTAAAAAGGGGTGTGTGGATATCACACCCCTATAGTTTTGGTAAGCAACATATTGAGAGGATGTGAGTTCGAAGGTTCTTCCACTGTGCAAGGAAGAATTTTATCAGAAGAAGAAGGTTCTGAGCTGTTTTATCCTGGGGACGACGTAGTGTTTGTGAACTGTTTGCACACTTTGGGCAGAGCCACGAAACGTCTTAAAGAGAGCGACTTAATCCGCGACTCATCCCAAGAATCATTCACCACTCAAGGCTTCTACATTTTTCGGGTAATTTCGTTCATTTCTATTTCAGTTTACAACAAATACTATCACCATCTCAGAGCTATGTAGTATTACAACTAGTTGAAATAGAAGTTCCACCTCATAGATTATTGCTGCAAAACATTAGTCAAATCGAAAATATATGAGGCATCTAATTGAGTTCAAATAAATTGACAACACTATTTAAAAAAAAATTTGAAATTTCATCATGACAATTAAAATGGAAAATAGTTTCGGACTGAATTGAATTTTTGCAAGGATGATCTAGGAATCGAGACGCACAAAATGGATAGTTCAGATCATTGAAGTCCGATGTGAAGCGGGTTCCACAACTAATTCCATTTTAAAAAAATAAAAATAAAAATCTCTTCCCTTAAAGGACCTGAACATATATATATATATATGTTAGTGTTGAAGCATCTGATAATGAATTATAATATTAAGGTTGTTATTTAAAACAATCCTAAATATTAAACCGTAAACCCACTTCAATTAATATGAAACAATTAAACATGACACCCTTACGGGGTGTAACTTTCTTTTCAAGACCCTCGCCGAATTTTTTTTTTTTAAAGAAAAAAAAATGAATATAGAACTCTTTTGGTTGTTGCATTAGGTCGAAATCCTTGCAAAACAAACACTAGGATATACTCCATTCAGAATTTACTGATAACTTATTGTATACAAGAAACTCGACGTAGTGTTAAAACTTAAAATGTACTGATAACTTATTACATACATATTCAAATACCTTGATTTCAAGAACTACTTCTATTTTCTATTTCAATCAAAAGTTCCTTTGAAAACGAGTCACTTCAACTACAATCGCAACATTGCCTTATCCTTGATGGCATCAAACCATTGAAAATAAGCATGCCTCCATGACTTCTTCAAAAATAATGTGCCACAAACGCTCCAAAAGCCTACGATAAAGCCAAGTGTCATGCTAACAAAGAACCACAACTCATCATGTCCATCTTCATTGTCATTGTCTTTTGGATCCTTGGTTGTCGGATTGCCACCTTCCAAGCATGCAATAGAAGGAGGAAACCCGCAGAGTAACGGGTTGCCCTCGTAAATGGATTCGGGCAGTGTTTGCAGCTGGTTACCCAAAGGAATTCTACCACTCAAGTTGTTATACGACAGATTCAAGTAAGACAAGAAGGTCAAGTGTGAAAGGCTCTGAGGAATCTGTCCCGAAAGTTGGTTGAGCGAGAGATCAAGATTTTCGAGCTGCACCAACTTTCCAATCTCCAAGGGAATGTCTCCACTTAATTGATTCATTGATAAGTTCAAGTTGTGCAGCAGGACAAGGCTGCTTATTTCTTCAGGGATTTCACCTTCAAGGTTGTTTGCAGAAAGATCAATGCTTTTTACAAACATCAGAGATGTGTTATACTGGAGTTCTCTTCCTTTCATCACTGTTGTTTGTTGATCGTACTCCAGATATATGTTATAAGCACTGTAATAAGCAACCTTCAGAGCAGTGACATTATTCAGGCACTTGGGAATAGTCCCTGAAAATCTGTTGAGAGCAAGGTCTAAGATGTGGAGGTTCTCGAGATTACACAACTCTTGTGGGATATGTCCACTTAGAAAATTCGACCTCAGTCTTAGGATTGACACAAACGGCGCATTCAATCCTATCCATGAAGGTATTTTCCCAGTAAATTTATTGTCCCCAAGATCAATGTTCCTCAAAGAAGTGCAGTTTTCCAAGGAAAGAGGAATTTCACCTTCGAGATTATTGTTGTTCATCTTCAACAAGAAAAGAGAACCCAAGGCACCCATTGAACTAGGAAGCTTGCCTGAGAGATTGTTGTATGCAGCATCTAGAATCAGTATGTCAGGCAACAAACTCCATTCTCGTGGGAATTCTCCAGATAACTGATTGCTTCTTAGAGAAAGGACTAACAAGTTTCTCATGTTGCAAATGGAGGGCGGAATGGTACCGTTCAAATGATTTTCTGCAAGATACAGTGATTCCAATTTGGGAAACTTTTGGTCCAAATTCCATGGGATTGGCCCGGAAAATGAATTCATTTCAAGCTTAAATCGAACCACATTGTCACCCGACCAAAGTGGTAATGGCCCATGAAATTGGTTATGACTCAAATCCAAAATCAGTGCATATGAGAATTTCAATTGGAGTGGAAGTTTTCCATGGATTTGGTTGTAAGATAAATCCAAGTACTGAGCTTGGGAAGATATCTTCAAGAACCAGTCCTCAGGTATGGAATCCGAGATTCCAGTAGCACGAAGTTTGACAAAAAGGAGTTTAGTTTGAGACTGCAGCCATACCCCAAAGGCAGGACCTACTTTACAGTAGCCAATGTTAATTTTGTGAAGCATGAAAGGAGGAACCCAATCATAAGACACTTTAAAAGTGAGGGGAATAGGTAGAATTGGGTTTGGATCTACTCTGCCTACTGCAAAGTATTTCAATCTTGTGAGATTTATGAAATGGGATTCAGTTAAAAAGCCTTCCCACGGATTGAACGATAGATCGAGATGAACTAGCTGAGAGAGTTGCCCTAAACTTTCAGGAATTGATCCATTCATATTATTATTGTAGAGGGTAAGAAACTTCAAATTGCGTAGCATCCCTAAAGAAGCAGGCAATTGGCTATTCAACATATTAGAAGACAAATCGAGTGACTCTAAAACACTATTGGGACAACTTGATAAACCACCCAAAAGCTCTTGAATCCCCCCATCAAACTGGTTCTGTGCAAGATTTAAGATCTTTAGATTGCAAAAACTCCCACGAAGTTTCGGAACTTGACCCTTGAGGCTATTGAAAGATAAGTCAAGGTGTTCAAGTGATTTGAGGCTTTCAAATTCAATTGGAAAGGGACCACTCAAAGAATTTCCCCTTAAATCAAGTTTTCTGAGGTTAGTCAGATTGAAAAACCATTCAGGAAACGGAAACTTCAAATCGTTGAATGACACATCAAGGATCAAAAGTGATGCAAGGCTAATATTCCCTGGTGGTGGAAGGCTTTGAATTTGGCATGATGACAAATGTAACTCTACTAGGAAAGGAAGCATGTTGACAACATTTAGCCAATTTACCCCGGTGTTGCTGAGGTCCAGTCCTTTGAGGTTGAGGTACTTTAGGGAAGAGAGACGAGAAAGCCAATTCAGGTTTTCGGAAGGGAGTTCAAGCAAGGAGTATTCAGATTCTTCGCCAAGGTCAAGATAGTTCAAGTTTGGCAAATTACCAAGATGAGGTGGAATCTCTCCTCCAAATGAAGCAGATGAGAGATTGAGATACCTCAAACTTTTAATCTGACCAAAGAACTCGGGAATGGAAATCCCTCGAAAATCATTCCTGCTTAGGTCTAGGTAATTCAAATGTTTCAAGCTAAGCAAAGAAGGATTTACCTTACCACCCAAAGAAGAGTACTCCATCTCGTCCCACTCTCCATCAAAAGCAGAAAGCGTATACATATACGCATTCTGGAGATTCATCATTTCAACACGACCCGTGATGTTGTTGCATGAAATTCCCTTCCACTGACAGCAGTCAAGTCCAACCCACGAAGAAAGCCTCCCGGAAGGATCAGTAACGTCTTCTTTGAAGGTGAGAAGCGCACGTCTTTCTTCGTCGATGCATGAGTTCACACTAGTGTGTAGATATGAAGAGGCCAAAAACCAGAGGAGCAAATAGTGAGCCATTTTGAGGTGATAAGAAGGGTTGAATAAGTAAGTTGCAAAGCTAACCATTATCGTACAAAGTTCTCTTTGCTTTGGTGGAGATAGTTTCTTAGCACAATACTTGAATTTATGATTGAGATGATGCCTCCCAACTTCCAAATTTTCAAAGTCTTCAACCCATTTTACAAAGTCTTCAACCGAAGTGTGTACTAGATAGACTAATAGGCAGAACAATAGGACTAAAATCCTATACGTTTTGGGCACCAAAAGTCTTTGATTGGGACGTGGGTTTTGAAAAAAAAAAAGGTAGCAAAGGCATTGACTTAGAATTCACATGTCTTTGTTCAATGGTAATCAATAATTGTCGAATTGTAAATGGTTAATTTGTTGATAATTAGTTAATGAGAGAGATTTTTCAATGTGACCGGCACACGAGGTGGTACATCACGTGTCATTATACAAATGGTGGAATATGTGTGTTAAAAAGTTAATAACTTAAAAAATAAAATTTACTACCACTTACATAAAAACACGTGATGTATCATCCATGTTCCCATCACAATAAAAAATTTCTCAACTAATGATGTGTGAGGAGTGGCCGGCAGTCTGTTGCTAAATTAATATTATTATTATTAATTTATAATTTGTTTTGATTTTTTTGTTAGACAATTTAGTCTTCTTCTCTAGGCATTCTTTGAAGTTGATCTGCAAGTGCATTTTCCACTCATCTTTCTGTTGAACTTTCAACTAAGTTTCAAACTTAATCACAATATTCTTTGAAATTTATCCTCTTTCTTATGTCGTTATCCTTTTATTTCAACATTTCTCCCCACTAAACGTTCATGGTTCAAAGGCATTCTTCTAATATTAAAATTATTTATTTTAATAAAATTGTGTTGGAAAATTTAATAATATTATTATTATATTAAATTTATTAATTGAATAGAAATTAGAAGTGGAGCCTTTTGGTAGAAAGATGTGTCAACTCAAATGAAGAGTTGCAACTTTTGACTCTTCATGAATAGTCACATGCTTTCCAGAGAGGTATCTCACATTCTATAAATAGGGAAGCCCCCTATAATCATTGAATGACTTTTCATTGTTTACATATACATACATATAGTGCATTAAATATTAGAGAGTCTATTAGAATCCATATGGGAGAGTTTTCAACACAATCGCGGTTCATGGAGCCTTGTGATTTGGAGTGCTACTATTGCAAGGACATGGTCGTTGTATCTTGGGAGACATGCGCCGATCAACCATGAGTACCGTAGTGGGGCGTAAACTTGTCTTAAGGACAAAGTGTCCAACACTTGCCTCGACCGTATTTTCTAGGTTTTTCTAATCCATTATATCATGTTCATTTAACATTGATTACTCATGTGTATGCATTACTTTGATATATAATTGCATGAATTATTTCTTGATTTTTCATGTGACTTAATATAGCAATTAGACCATATTTTTCCAACAAATTGGTCCAAGGAATTGCTCCAATTTCTCCACACTAAATGTTCATGTTCAAAGGCATTGTTCCAATTTCTCCACACTAAATGTTCATGTTCAAAGGCATTGTTCCAATTTCTCCACGCTAAATGTAGTAGATGTTAAGAAGGTCAATGATAGGATTATAGTAATTAATATTGTGATAGGACAAGAATTCATCAATGAGATTAATGCATATGCACCTCAAGTTGAGTTGGATAGGAATCTGAAGGAGAAATTTTGAGAAGATCTGGAAGAATTGGTCAAATGAATCTCTTGGACGTAGAAGATACTCACATAAGAATATTTAAATGGACATGTGAGCAAGGAGACAGACAACTATAGAGCTTTCCATGGTTTTGAAGAGAGAAAAAAGGAATGGGAAACCATTTTGAATTTCACAATGGCATACGATCTCTTTCTAGCCAATACCTTCTTTAACAAGAGAGAAGAGTGGTCATCAGAAACACAAATAAATTTCTTTTCATGAGAAGGAGGATTGTATAAGTTGTAAGGATTGCAAAGTTAGCCTAATTAACGAACATCGCTTGTTGTTGCTGGATGTATGCCCCACACCCCCACTTTTCATGTATTTTGTTTTTCTTGCATTATGAGGGGTATGATTTATGTTTTCCCTGACTAGGTGTAATTTTTTTTCATATCAATAAATTTCCCTTGTACCGTCGAGATTCTCCAAAAAAAAAAAAAAAAAACAACAACAACGTCTTGTCCCACTAAGTGGGGTCAGTTGTATGAATCCTAAAACGCTATTGTGCTCGGTTTTATGCCAAGTCTCCTGTTAGGTCCAAGTACTCTATATTCTTTCTTAAGGTCTTCGTCTAAGTCTTTCTAGACCTTCCTCTACCCTTTCTGCCCTAAACTTTTGTCTCATACTCACATTTCTTATAAGAGTATCTATAAGTCTTCGTTTCACATGTCCAGACCACATTAACCGTTTTCTCTCACCTTATCTTTAATTACAGCTACTCCTACTTTACCTCGAATATCCTCATTATTAATCATGTCTTTTCTTATGTGCCCACACATTCAACAAAGCATTCTCATCTCCATTATACTCTTGGTTTTGCATGTGTTGATACTTGATTTCCTAACATTCTATGCCATAAAGCATCGATGACCTTATTATCATCCTATAAAAAAATTCTTGAGTTTTAGTAATATGACTGTCACACAATACACTCGATGCACTTTTCCACTTCATCCATCCAACTTGTATTTTATGGTTGAGATTTCCATCCAATTCTCCGTTCTTTTGCAAGATAGATCTAAGATAATGAAAGTGTTCACTCTTTGGTATTTCATGATCTCCAATCTTCACCCTTATCTCATCGAACCTTCATTTACACTGACTTGCACTCCATAGACTCTATCTTTGACCTACTTAGGCGAAGACTTTCATATTCCAACACTTCCTCTAAAGGTTAAGTTTCACATTTACTTCTTCATGTGTCTCATCTATCAACACTATATTATCTGCTAAAGTATCACAAGGGATATCATCTAAAATATGTCTCGTTAACTCGTACACTACCCCATGAAAAATGGTAAGAAATTAAAGTTGATCCTTGATGTAACCCTATACTAAAGGGATATCATCTTAATAAGTTCATACTGCAGTCCTTGCTCCATCATACATATCCTTTATTGCTTCGATATATGTTACTCATACTCTTTTCTTCTTTTAGAATCCTCTAAAGAATTTCTCTAGGGACCCTATCATACGCTTTTTTAAATCTATAAATACCATGTGCAATTCCTTTTACATGTCTCTATATCGTTCCATCAATCTCCGTAAGAAATAAATTGCCTCCATAGTCGAGCGCTCTGGCATGAACCTGAAGTAATTGTTAGATACTCGTGTCTCTTTCCTTAGTTTATACTCAACTACTATCTCCCACAACTTCATTGTATGACTCATTAACTTAATACCCCTATAGTTCATGCAATTTTGTATGTTGCCTTATACTTTTAGTTAGGCACCAAAGTGCTTTTTCACCATTAAATTGGCATCTTTATTTTCAAATTCTTATGGAAAAGGTTTATGAGTCATGTTATACTTGTCTCTCTTAAGATTTTCTACACTTCGAATACCGTCAAGACCCACTGTTTTTCATTGCTTCATTTTTTTCAAAAGCTGCAACACTTCACCTAAAGAAGTACTCATTTCGTGTCTTTCATTGAAAAGATTATGAAAATAAGCTTTCCCTTTTTCTTTAACCATGTTCTTCATATCTAAAATATTTCCTTTCTCATCCTTGATGCACCTCACTTAGTTCAAGTCTCTTGTCTTCTTTTCCCCTTACTCTAGCCAGTTTATAGATATCCAATCACTTATACATATTGTCAAAATCCATTAGCTTCGCTTTTCTCGTGACTTTCTTCTCCTTCTTCTTTGCTATTTTATACCTCTCACGGTTTTCATTGGTTATATCCTTGTATAAGGCTTTACAATATTCCTTCTTAGCCTTAACATTTTATTGTACCTCTTCCTTCCACCACCAAGATTCCTTTTGATGCGGAGCAAAACCCTTAGACTCTCCTAATACACTTTTTGTAACTTTTTGGATACAGTAGCCATGGAATCCACATTTGGTTAGCGTTCCCCTTTGTATCCTAAGTGCATAGGCAAGTACTTTCTCTTTGAAAGTGACTTGTTTTTTCCCTTTTGATTCTACCATCTAGTTCTTGGACACTTCAAGGTCTTGTTCTCTCTTCTATCTCTTTTGATATGTATATCCACCACCAATAGAGATATTGGTTAGCCAAATTCTCTCCCAGTATAACTTTGCAATCCTTACAAGTTATATGATCCCCTTTCCCCTTAAAAAGAAATCTATTTGTGTTTTTGACGACCCACTCTTCTAGGTGGCCACATGTTCTTCTAGAAAGAGATTGTATGCCATTGTAAAATCCAAAATGGTTTTCCCTTCCTTGTTTCTTTCCAAATGCAGCATGCCTATGTAGTTGTCTGTCTCCTTGCCCACATGTCCATTTAAATCTCCTCCTATGATCACCTTCTCCGTCTACGAGATTCCTTGGACCAATTCTCCAAGATCTTCCTAAAAATTCTCTTGTAGACTCCTATCCAACCCAACTTGAGGTGGATTGGTACTAATCACATTGATGAGTTCTTGTCCTATCACGATCTTGACTTCTATAACTCTATTTCTGACCCTTAAAAAAAAACCAGCAAGGGATGAGGTTTGATCTAAACAATTCAATAAGTTAATAGCCTAGGTGTAAAGATAAATTTACGTATTGAATTGGGTTTGTGAGGGTAGTTTAAGTAATAAATTTGGGTTTAAAAAGATATTGATATTTCAATTAAAAATAATATGAATGCAGTGAGTAAACTAGATATAAAGATAGGTTATATGGGTTCAAATAAAATTTCCCAAATCAAAATTTTGAGCCCACTGTGGACAGCCTAGGGTTTTATCATGACTTACAACAAAGACTTAGCGAAGTATATTAGGTGTGTCAAATTCTAATTTTTGTTTTTTCACCGCTTTTATCAAGACAATCTCTCTCCCTCTCCCTGTGTTAATATATCTCGAGAGTCGAGACTCATGACAGATTCGTTAGTTGCAAGGTAAGTATGTAGTCTCCGTTAACTAAGTATCGGCTTTAGTCTCCTTGTTTGTATTTATACATTATATCTATTTATTTATTTACTTATTTATTGGATGAGCTTGGTCTATATAGAATGATCAAGAAGGTGGAAGAGGAGGACCTTGTGTCTGGGACATTCACCTGGAGAGTAGACAACTTTTCTCAGTTGAAAAAGTACCAGCATTACTCTGAAGTTTTCGTCATTGGTGGTTATAAATGGTGCACTTGAGTATCTTGAATTTACAAGCTTAATTTTTTATGGTATAATATATAATTTGTAGGTGGGTTTAGGGTTAACTGGTTTGATCTGCAGGCGGATGCTTATATATGCAAGGGGAAACAACGTCGATTGCTTGTCTGTGTATTTGGATGTTGCAGAGGCTTCAACATTACCATATGGGTGGAACAGATATACAAAGTTCAAGCTCACCCTCGTTGATCAATTTGATACCAACAAGTCAATAACAAAGGGTATCTGTACTGATCATATTAGTCGCAATTCGAATTTTTACCTAATGGGCTTGCCATTTACTCAAGGAGAAGTTTGGTATATAGAATTTAGCGATTCTTTGCCTTCCCCATACTCTTAGTTTCTTTTGTACTTCTTACTATATAGCCTTGCCATTGTTTGTGTTGGATATGTGCTACACTTGGGAAGGGAAACCGTAAATGAGACCTAGGGTCACAACAAGAAAAAGGGACAACACCATTTTTTTTCACACATTTTTACACTCATTTTGTGGGGCTCACTTCATAATGTATTTCAATAATGCCCGTCTATATTCAATTCATCATTCATTGATCATCCTTGAAAAAAATTAGAGTAATCCAAACTTATTAAGGCATTCTTTTGTAGTTAATAAAATGGAAGGACATTGTTTTGCAAAGAAAAACTAGAATGACCAACATTAATCCAATGGTTATATGGTTTAGGATTTGAATGATTTTTGGTAGCCATGATTTTTGAACGGAGACCTAAAAGATTGACCGTTCGGAAAGTTGATATAAATTACGAAGTGGGCCCTACTAAACAAGTGCCAAAATATGTGAAAAAATGTGTTTCCCCTTATCTTAATGATATATATTATACATATGTATGTGTATGTACATGTAGTTGGGAAATTGTTTGCCAGTATAGGATTGTTTGTATTCACTCATTGCTGATCATCCGTATTGTCGTAGTGAAGTAGGCACACGAGCATCTCCAAGAGTTATTAAATTCATGTTTTGAACTACATATGTAGAGCCACATAGGATTTTCTTGCTCCAAGAGTATAGCTAAATTCATTCTTCAAATAAGAGTTTCTAACCAAGCCTTCAAACATTCATTTTAATATGGTAATGTGTTCTTTTCTCACCATCTCCATTAATTAATCCCATAACAACAAAATGTGGAACCAACTTGTTTCATATTAGATAGTACATAATATAATATTAAAATTTATAAGAGCCTGTTGGAGAACAAAATTGTAAAGTAGCAAAATTTACTCTTTCAAATTGCCGCATAAATTAACAAACTGGTATTTGAACGAACAGTTACATTTGTGTGGAGACTGTTGATGTTAAACATACCTTAAGTCTATGCCCCAGCTGAAGGTAGGTAGTTAGTGTTGGACAGTATGCTACGTACGGTCGATAGCTCAATTGACTTAAAGTTGGTTAATTGAACATTTGTTTCGTATCTGTTTGAACTGTGCTTTTCTTACCTATTCAGTCGATCCATTAGAACATACAATCCAAATGGCCTCTTCTATCTTTTATATGGATACATTAGTTATTCATATGCTTTGATTCTTGATTAATGTTTTTGATCGTTGATATATATACTTCTGATTTCACAGACTTGGAACATACGTTTACGGCAAGTACAGCTGACTGGGGCCTTACATCATTCATTCCTCTAAGTGAGCTTCATCGCCACGATAAAGGGTACCTGGTGAATGACGTATGTGTTGTTGAAGTTGAAGTTTCAGTTCGTAACGGTATTAAAATTTTAGAAGACCAAGAAACTGGTGAGCTTATGGATTTCAGGGGTTTAGTGCGAATAGGGAAAAATTTTGTTCCAATGTTGGAGGAAGTGTGTTCGTTGTATCCTTCTTTGATTGAGTGCCAGATGAAGAGGAGTCGTACGTTTGTTCAATGTGCATTCACAGCTCTGGGCCGAGTCTTGCATTTCCTGAAGACTACAAAAGCCAAGGATATGAACGCTGATGCTTGTCAACGTCTTCAACTGTTATGGGAGGAGCTTGAGGCCTTCAAATTTGACTTGGCTTGGCTGGAGCCACATGTTCAATCTGTTTTTGGCATGACGAAAAAGGTAGGAATAGTGAATAGACTGAAAGAAGATGTCGATGTTTTGGATAACGAATTAAAGACGCGACGGGCTATCTTAGCGGACGCAGAAGCCGAGCTTGAGGTAGCAAAAAGAAATTTGGCAGAGGCAGAAGAAGAGTACTTCAGCAACATAGATATGGATAGTGAGCTAGGTTATCCGTTAGCTTAATTTACGGTAGAATTTTCTCTCAGATATATAATAATGATCCCTCAGACAAATTTATGCAGTGCATGCAAATATGTAGTAGAACTTGGAGTGGTATGAAGTTTAAAACAAATCTAGCTCTGAATTTAAATTGTACCATATTTTCGTTTGTTTGTCTGGGGACTGTTTCATGTCATGTTCTTTTCAAACGTGAAATACTCGCAAAAAGATGATGAAAGGAAATGGTTGTTCGGGTTGTTCGCATAAAAGATCGATGGTGGTGTTTTAGAATAAAGAATAACCAGCAAGGGATGACAAACCAGTGTTCACAGTGATTGTTGAAGAAAGTTGAGGTTTCACCGTAAAATCAATTGGTAACATGGGAAGTAGTCCAACTTCTCATAAGCACTTGCATGGTTTGGTCCCTTGCCGATGTGGGACTTTGTCCTCACTTTCTCACGTGTGACGAATTTCCAAGCCTAGCTTATGAACAACACAAACAGGGTGACGTGCATCCATTGGGCTTCATGTGTGGGCCAACCTGCTCTGACCATGACGAAGGTTGGATTCCAGCATAAGATCAATTGGTTGTATGATGAGTAGATGAGTAGCCTTGCATGGTTTGGTCCCTCAACGATATGAGACATTGTCCTCACATTCTCACAATTGTACTGATTTATATTGGACGAGATGGTTAATTGTACATTTACAAAGAATTTGAATCCTCTACCAGGTTTTTTGGCTACCGGTTATACTAGAATTTAACTAAAAACCATTTAAGCACGTTTACTTATCGGTTGCTAGTTGCAGATATAGCTAAAGTCTCATGACCTCATGATATTCTAATGTAATCTTCCTTTTCTTTCAAGCTTATGCCCCGTTGTCAACAAAAATAAGTAAAAAGAAAGAAAAGAAATGAGTTCAATTCACGACTTCTCTCTCACAGTTACTTACACGTAATGTGAATCCCATTTCATTCTTTATTTTTATTTCTATGTTATTGAACTAACAAAGTCGAACAATTACAAAAGCAAACAGCATTGCAATTTAAGGCCCAAAACGCCCAGATGAAACCGAACCATTTGACCAAAAAATAAAGAAGTAATTTGGTTTGATTCCTTTTCCTCAGTGATTTGTGTTGTACCCAAACCGAACCAATGCATTCAGTTGTAATTGATTCTGCTGCAAATTGGAGGCAAAACCAATCCATTCCGAACCATAACCTGATACCCCTGCAAGATAGTTCTCAGAATCTGGAAAACTTGGAAGTCAGTTTCAGCAAGTAATTTTTGAAAAAATGTACAAGAATAAAACCAAGGTCTATTGAAATTTAAGATTAAAAACAACCAGCATCTAAGTTGGATATAAATATATAACTTGACGGGTTTGCATAACAACGATGGAATCCCAATACAAATCACTCTATTGTTTAATTATAATGCATAATTAGAATAGTAATACACAAACTGCTGGTAATGTAGCCTCCTTGAATCACTTTCTGAATCCTTTGAATATATTCTCCTTGTAGTATTTGAGTTCTTTGATGCTTTCTCTGATATCATCCAAGGCTCTGTGTTTATTTTCTTTACAAGGGGCTTTCTTATTATCTGCGCTAAACAACCACATTAGTCAATACTTGTCCCAAGTAAATTCACTCAGGAATACCTCCTATTTGAATGCTCACGATTAAACCACGTCAACAACTTGTGTTTCCGAGAGAGAGAGAGAGAGAGAGAGGAGACTGGAGGGGAGGGGAATGAAAGGGGAGAGAATCCTACTCCAATAAGAAACCACATAACCACCAAGACCTAACCACCATGCCGGGCCAATGGGAAGGGAAGTCACTGGCGTGGCCAACAACATAGACTAAGGTCACCGAGGGATGGATGTTTTAATTCATAATAAATAAATAGTGTGCCCTTAAGTGGTAGAGAAAAATTAGAGTATACCAGGTTATGTAAGTATTTTTACCTTGAGGATACCAGCGAATGCATAGAGCTTTAATACTGCTAACATCCACTAGTACATGGGAGAAAAGGCTAGCCAGATCTGGCATGTACTTCTGCCAGAAAAAAAGCCAGTTAAAAGAACTCCAACCAAGCTGATTATATTTATATCTAAGTACGGTAACAAAATGAGAAAAACAGAGGCGTGACATCTTTCTAAATAGACACAATTACACCCTTTCGTTTTTTTCCATTTCCTCCAAAAGCCCCATAAACCTTAATGCTCCAAACAAAAATCAACAAAACCACAATCCACATGGTCATCGAACTTTTTTAAATCAACTTCATAGAATCCTCCCTTCTTTTAGTTGTTTTAATCTCACCTCCTCCGCAACCTCGTTTGCAATTAAAACTATATCTACTGCCTGGTACCTATTTACTTTACTCCAAGCTCCGCTACACATGTTTTCCCTTAATAGAAGAATAGTTCACAATAACCATACAATAAGCTTATCTGCTTCCAACATAACAGAAAAACAACCAAATAAGTGAAAAACGGGCATTAATGCAAAAACAAAATTGATGTGTGGCACGGTGACAGTGGGGTCCACATGCTCATCAGCTTATGAAATAAATTGCAATGCATTACTAATAACCAAATACTAACAATTAAGTCAATCCCATATTAGAAATTTTTGCAATTGAAGTAAAATATAAACAAAAATCCAGAAAAAAATGATTCAAATTACCTTCAAAAACACAAAATCTACATAAACCGAATTTCCTGCTATGAGAGGTTGATATGTTCCAATGTTTCTCTTTACAAATTCTATGACCTGCAGTATTCAAGCACGTATTTACTTACCAAGAAATATAAAGAAAGCAGTATGTGACTATAATATATCATTAGGATTAAATTTGTTCAAACAGAACTAGAACATATAAAAAGGTCAGAATTGAAGGGAAAAGAGGATGATTACTTAATAAGTACTGTATATGTAACAATTAAATTATGTGGTTCATCAAAACTAGGTTGTGGAGTTATCTTATCCAAAACAAATAAGGAAAAGTACAATGAGTATCAAATTGGTCTTCTTTACATGAGGAACTGACTAAAGATTCCAGGTTGTTTGTTATTTTGACATCGAGAAACTCAGAGGTGGAATTCTTTAACAATAATTCAACTGAAAGAGTTTAATTCTTTTTATTCAATCCTATGATTAAACACGAGTTATTAAAATCACAACGAATATTGATTAAAAGAATCCCAGACATCCAATGACAGAATAATAATTAATTATACCAACCAAAATTAATATAGCTCATGTGTAACAAGAGTTCTTTCGCACCTGCTGTTCAGCTTCTCTTTCACTAATTGAACTTTCGAGCACTTTTGTTGCCAACCCTAATATTATTAAAGTTTGTCAGTCGTAAAATCTTGCACCATACGCTAAAATGATAATAGATTCTTGTGTATGATATGATGCTTGGCGATAAAGAGAACAGATGTTTAACCATATGTTACCAAGAAGTACGATGTCGGATTACCCTGCTTACTTACCACTAGCTGCATGATGTGTTTGACACCATTCTCCCATTCTATCTAAACACTCCTTGGTTTGGTGGATAACTAAATCAGGGCCCTGAAATATAAAAGGGGAAACAAGGAGAGAGAAAAAAAAAAAAAAAAAAGATTAGGAATTGAGCCCAAATGATAAAAGAACAGACAGGCATCATAATAAGTATCAAGGAAAAGGATAACATCTAAGGGTGCAAACAAACATCCTTGACTCAATCAGGTTTTTGTTTCTTTAACTTCTTCAGAATTATATGATAATAATTTTTTTTTTAAATTAAAAAAAAATAAACTAATGATGAAGACAACCTATTTCCAGTCTTTAAGGAAGACAGAGGGAGAATGAAAAAGCCTTTGAAGGTTTCCGTCATAATTAAACTACTAGTGCACATCACTCCTACAGCTTCTTTAGGATTGAAAAAAACTAAAACCTGCCCTTTGAAACCTACTTAATCAAACATATATGAGATGTTTTGATCTCATTTTCACTTTCAAACATTTTGATTCTGTGTATTTTTGTTTTTTGGTCTTTGGAGCTATTTTCACGTAGCTATACAGTCAGTAGTAACCCACAAAGACGATATCATGACTCTCAAACAACCACCAAAATCATACATAATAAATTCCCAACTGTTGACAGATATTCTAAAGTTACCCTAAATAGCAAACCAAAATCCAATTAATTGAAAGGAGAGAATTGATCAACTAACTGACTGACTGACTCTTGAGCACTCACATAACATCTAAAATGGTAATTTTTTCAGGAGGCACTATTTTTTATCATTATTTATTTTTTCGGTGCAGAAAAAGGTACAACAAACTAAAAAAAATTGGAGTAGATGAATACTGATGCAGCACAAATTTTTTATTGGACATAAATGCAGGGGATACATGCGGCATAAAGTAATTATGTATGAATACTATCATACAATCTTTTAAATTGCAACCAGGGATAACACACAAAGTAGTTAACTACACCTACAAAATCTAAAAATAGAAATACACAGAGGCATATCCACACATTAATGCACAATGCTGAAAATACCTCCACCGATTTGGTTAATCTTCCATCAGTAACTATACAAGCAATCTCCAGTATTCGATCAACTTCAACATTTAAACCTGCACGTCCACGGAAGTAAAAGTGAATATTTTCATGTCATCGCATATTAGGACAATTAACCATAGAAATCATTAATTGAAGTGAAAGCAGACAGCACAATAATAGGTCAGTTAGATTTAATGTACGTTGCCCAGCATTCCTACATATTTTATGTGCATCTTTGTTTTCTTTTCAAGGAAGGAAACAGAATGAGTATATTAATAATCAAAAAGACTAAGTTGTACAATTAAGGTGGACCAGTAGTCTATCTATAAATAGCCCTAAACCTGCATGAAACAGAACATTCTTAGCAGGAAATACAGACACCTATCCAATAAAAGGGAAGAAGCCGGCAACTACTAACAGAAAGCCTAAAAACCTGAAACATCCAATCCAAGTTTGGAAGAAGAAGGGGCAGCGAAAGAATTGCCAAGCCAAAAGTCTAGCATTTTCCCATAAGAAATACACAGATTCACCTATCCTTCCCCTCAGAATCACAGATTAGGTTACTCCCAAATATCATCCCAGAAACAAAACCTCCCCCTTTCCAACTGTGAAACGAAGATTAGAAGAGAACATGGAAAGGACCTGAGCTATGTCTTTCCACGGGCATCGCCACGACCCTTTAAACTCAAATAAGTCACATCATGCAACATGTATATACTCCATACAACAAAGTTCCACACAGAAATAGTTCCCAAGAGTAGCGAAGAAATTATCAATGTTATTTAGTTAGGCATTTTTGTATTATACCAAGCAATATTACCCTCACCAGTCATTTCCAAGTCAATCCATACCAGTGGCATTTTGCACTCTTCTGGAGGTACCTCTGTATTTTTCTTACTCTGCTTCTCATTTACCAGCAACTTGTTGTCAGAGTCGTTGACTTTTTCTTCTTGCTATTGCCTACCTCAAAAGATGCATCATCAAAATGAATATACTCATATTTTTCAATCCACATAGCGGGATTATCAACAAATATTCACCTAAGCAAATCATTATTATGGCAATTACTTATTATATATGCCCAATGCCTAGTCTATCATGAATGTGGGTTACATTTAGAAAAAATAAAGATTTTTTTTGTCTGTAAACAAAAAATTTATACTTCATCAAAACTGCAGGATCCATTCAAAAAAATAAGAACTTTTTTGAGAGAAATATTAAGAAAAAGAGCCTAAAAATGGGTGTTCATAGATTCAGTTGAGTTGTAAATGAAAGTATACAGCATCCAAATATACTGGAAGGATGAAAGTAAATAGTAATCACGAAAACTTCCTAGTAGGACTTAGCCCCGGAAATTGTCGAAACCAGCTCAATGTACAGGATCAATCAGTAGCCCAAGAACGAAAGCAAACAAGGGGTTTACAGCCTAAATCCGCACCAAACTTCACCACTAACCAAGTTTGCAGTAAGCTTAATTTATAAGCAATCGATCCGGAGAAGTAAACAAGCAATAAGCTTCAAAGACGCCTTTCCCTCCAGTTGTGTCACATTTTTGGGCTAAATAATAAACCCTAAACCCAAAACCCTAACACATGGAATGAAAGTGAATGAACCTGAAGATTTTCTAGTGCCATCGGAAGAAGAAGAAGCGAATCGCATTGGATCGTCGTTTTCGGCGTCAAGTTCCAGCGCAGAGAATGCATTTGCGAGGAACTCCATTGTTTCTCTGTCTCTTTTGGTTACGATTGCTTGGTTTGGTTCTGAAACTTTACTCTCTAGCATGAATTTACTTTAGAGTAAATTAATTTTAACTAAATTGAAACAATGGTTCCTCAATTAAAATTATATTATTATTGCTCCATCAACTTATCAAAACGTATAGTTATGGTTTTTTAATTAGAACTTTATTACTATTAGTCCCTCAACTTTAATTCAACCGGAGAAATGATCCTCAATTTTAATTTAATTAGAGCAATAGTCTCTTAACTTTAACTCAATTGTAGCAATAGTTATCCAACATAACTCATTTTGACAAAATTATAACAAAGTGAACAAAAAGGATCGTAACTACCCATTTAGATGAGTTAAGAGACCCTGATTATAACAATGGTTCTTCCAACATAACTCATTTTAAAAAATTCTAACAAAGTTGACAAAACTGATCATAACTACACATTTTAATGTGTTAAAAGACTAATTGTAATAAAAAATTTATTGAAAAATCATTGCTTTAATTTAATTAAAGTTGAATAACTCCATTGTTTCCTGTCTCTATTTTAACTTGTTGCAACAACTCGGGCGGGCTGCCGAATTTCAATTTGGTCTATTTAGACCAAAAACGACCATTGGGCCCAAAGTATGCTGGCCCAGATATAATTTCATTGGAAAACACTAATTGGGCTTTATTTACAAATTTCTTTAGCCACCTCTAACAAAATTTAAATTTCTTTGGACACCTAAAATATATTTAAGAATATACCAAAATTATCGTTTAAAACAAAATTTCTATTTGTTTATTTGAAAATATAAAAAAATTACAACGTTCAAAAGGAAAAGGAGAGTTTGAGACGGCCAAGCCGCTATCAGAGGGGTGAGACTCAAGAAACGAACACCTTGTATGCACAAGGTTGAAACGTCATTTCCTTTTTAATTTTGGATATTTGCCCATTGTTTTGGTCTCCACCACTCTCTGACCCCACCCCCTTTGTTTCTTTCTTCTTCTTTTTTTTTTATGAAAACACCCCTCTGTTCTTTATTCCTTCCTTCCCCATCTTGCCTGGGATTTTTGCTTTCCAGCTCCATCCTTCTTTCTCCTTGGCAAGGTCCTCCTCTTCTTTCCTTATTTTCTTTTCCTTTTCACTTTTGCTTACCCTTTATTTCCTTGCACTGTTTCCTTTATTTTCTAGCTTCCTTGAGCCTTGTCTCAACCTCTCTGAGCTTGTCTCAGATCTAGATTTTATGCCCCCTTTTACCTCCGATGTTTCTTCCCATCGTCAATCCTTCACCGCCGACCTCCACTACTCGGTCCATCGCATGTCTCCTTTCGGCGGCGCATTTTGGTGTTGGGTGCTTGTTAAAGTGTGTTTGGCACTATTTGGTAGGATTATGGGAGTGCTTTTTGTACGGATGGCTCGCTCACTCCCATTTTTCGTTCATCCAGTTTGTTCGTGGATTCTTTCTCTTGGTGGTGACAGATTGACGATGGCGGCGCAACTAGTGTGGTGAAGTTTGCACTCTTCCAGATTTAGGGTTTTTGTTGTTGTCAGCTTGCTCTTTATAGGCTTTTGTGTTGTATTTACTTTTGGCTTATGATTGTATTTGGATTGCCTTTGGGCCTTCCATTTCTTGTATTAGTTTTTATTAATGAAAGTTATCTGTTAGACAAAAAACAAAAAACAAAAGAATTAGATAATGAGAAATTTTATTTAAATTCAAGTAGTCTCTTTCTATGCACAACTTAAATTTTAAATGTTAATTATATATTTTACCTTATTGCATAATTACTATTAAATACAAAATGAAATTAATAATAAAACTCAAATTTATCAATAAAATCACGCACTATAATTAAACCCTAGCACTACCATTTGTTTATCCTATGTTCATTCCGGCTAAAACCCTAATAGCTCTGATAGAGAAAACAAGCTTTTTCTATTGATGGATGGTGATTTTGAAGTTTTGAATCGTCCAACTAAGGTATGACTCAATATATGGATATTTTGCATTTGCTTCTTCTTTGGATTAAATTTCATACTTTTTATATTTTATTGCATTTGTTTTTCTCTGCCGGTGTCTCTCGGCGGCCCAAACCACCATTGCAAGGACTTTTGATTAGTACTGCAAAGACATATTGACTTGATTCTTGGTGCAAATAAATATTACCCCAACCTCATCAACCTTAACCATTAACTAGCGGGCGGCATTCTCTGGCAAATTCAAGTCTATGGAAGGATCTCTTGGATCCCAAGTCGATGGATGGGTTTGGTAGCAGAAAGAAAAAAAGAAGACATGGAAATGCTAGTCCTATATGGCATGTGCAAAATAACTTTATATTTGAATTGGGTTTGAGATGGTTGTAAACATGAAATTTTCCTGAAACGAAAGAAAGTAAGTTTGGCTTCAAATCATTCATGCCTCTTCGGGAACTCTATAACTCTGGTGCAGGTTTTCTAGTAAATGATATTTGCATTGTTCAAGCCAAGATCAATGTCCCGGTTAAAATTGGTGGCCAAGAAACTAATATTTCTGCAACTATGGAGTCATCAAAGAAAGGACTTAAGGGGCAGGAATCACAGAGGAATTCTGAACTCCAAAACACACCAGGTTTTCAAGCTTGCACTGAGGCTACTGATGATAGCCCTTCTGACCCTTCCTTAGCCAAGGTACTCAGGGAAGTCCCCACCACCCCAACGGGCGACCTTATGGATTTTAGGGGTTTAGGACGAATAGAGACGGCTTTTATTCCTTGGCTAGAAGAAGTCTGCTCATCGAATCCGTCCTTGATTGACTGTATGCTCAAAAGAACTCCGATGTTTGTTGAATGCGCATTCACAGCTTTGGGCCGTGTGCTGCATTTTCTAAAGACAACAAAGGCTAAAGATATGACCAGGGATGCTTCTGACCGCCTTCAACTATTCTGGGAAGAGCTCGAGGCCTTTAGATTTGATTTAGCATGGCTGGAGCCGCACGTTCAAACAGCATTTGGTATGAACAAGTTTATACAAAGAGCAGGGAGACTGAAAAGGCTGAGAGAAGACGTAGACGTTTTGGAGGATGAACTTAAAAGGCGGAGGGCAGCAGTAGCTGTTACAAAGGTTGATCTTGCGGTAGCCAAAAAAAACTTGGGTAAGGCGAAACAAGAATTCAATGGGATAGACATGGATACTAAGCTAGGTTGTCACAGCCCGTTCCAAAATATTACATTCGTGGCTGTGAATGGACGAAATTGCCCTTAAGAAATACTAAGTATGTGAAGCTCAAGTTGATAATTATCTAGGTTCCTAAGTTTTGAAAATAAAATGGAATTTTAATAAGGATGGAACTTAGATTTTTAGGTTAAAATTTTGTGGTTTGGAGTTGGAGATTGGAAAAGGACCACGTGGGATCCCCATTCCTTATTTCCCTCCCTAAAACCCGTAACTCCTTCTCTCTCTTTTTCTTCTTTCATCTCAGAAAACTCTCTCACTCTCTCTCTTACTCTCGAACATACGGACTCACACACAACCTCAATCAAACCTCCACGAACGTCCAATTTAAGACTACCATCGTGATCCTGAGGACTTCACGAACACGGGGATACCAAAATTCAGGTGAGTTTTCATTTCGAAAAAACCCTAGTTTTTAAAGCCCCGTGAAATGGCACTGTTCATGATCTTCTAAATGACTACGTTTTAGGCTAAAAAAAGCTCACAGTGAGCTTAAGGAGGTCACGAGGAGGCTCGGAGTGCCTCGTTTGAACAAAATGGACGTCGGGATCACGTTGTTCATCTTTGGCCGGTTTTCTTGGAATTTTTCCGGTGAGATTTCCTGGTTTTTAGAGCTTTAAAGTAGTATATTGTGATTCTACATGTTTGGGGCTTCAATTTGATATATTATACGAAGAAAATGGTTGAGAAACGAAGGAGAACGAAGCATTTGAAAATTCCCCAGTTTTCCGGTCACCGGAAAAACCAGTCCGGCGACCCAAGGAAGAAGAAGGTGCGCGTGGGGGCGCGTGGACCCGTGCCTTCCTTGGCGCGTGGGGGGCGCGTGCTACAGTAAAAAATTATTTTAAAAAAATATTTCGACGTCTGTGACGTCGAGTAGATCACTGTGGTATATTCATATACCCAAATTGAGCACCGTATGAGAAAGTTATTAAGGATTGTTGGTTAGGTGTTCAAATAACGTTTTATAGTTTTTGCATTTAGGTGAAAATATGAATTGACGATCCGACCGTTGGATCATCACCAAAATTTGATACGTTGCAATACGTAATGTTTGAGGATTATTGGAACTTACGGATTGGGAATCCGAGTTACGGATCTTCCGGAATTGGAGTTGTAAGTTCATAAAATAAAATGTTAACCGTCACTTAGTTTTGTTAATTGACGGAGATCCGACCGTTGGATGGTGATGAAATTTTAGGATGTTATCCTAGATATATATTGTGGACCTCTGGAAGTTATGGATTTAAAATCTGAGTGGTGGATCTTCCGGATCGAACTACGTAGTGACGTATTTTATATAAGTTATATATTCTATCGATATGAATTCTGAGGTTGGAATTGATTATTGTTTTAGGCGCCGATCGTCATGACGCCTTGGCGTATTGTGCTAGGGAGTTGTAGGGCGAACTCCAGGTGAGTGGGCAGTTTTGTTTTCCGTATACATATATACTTACCGTTTTCCCAGAAATTGAAAATGCATGAAATTATGCTTTAAATGCAATGCATAAAATTATATGAAAAGTATATTGAGATGTGAATTGAAGATGCCATGCATAAAATTATATGCAAAGTATATAGAAATGTGAATCGAATTGCCATGCATGAAATGATATGAAAAGTATGAATTGAGATATGATGCATATGAATGAATGGTGCGGCGGACGCACAGGTGAGTATCAGGTGAGTATTTAATTACTGTTATGATGATGTTGATGTATATTGAGCTCAAATCCTGCACCATAGTTTAGTGCTTATAGTATTCACCGCATCGCACGCTCGCCTTGGATCCAAGTAGATGCTGGTCGCACAGTCCACGCGGAGTGGGTGCGACGGGCCAGTCGAAGAGTGTTAGTGAGATTTCGACTGGTGGGTGACCTTAGATTATGTGCACAGATGATTGATGAGAAAGCACTAGAGCGTAACTTATGTGCAGAAGGCCGTACAGGTCACAGAGGTGACTCCGGCAGAGTGATAGTGATAGATTTTGAGCTCTAGATTCAACCGTACAGGGCTATTAGAGGGCCTCCGGTTGATTACTTTCTTGCACCTGATATGATTATTGTTGATGCATCCATACTTAAACTGTTGAATTAGACATGGCATGGCATGATTGATAAAGAAAAATGTTGAGATAGTAAAAATGAAGTTTTGAGAATATATATGTATATTTATATTTTACATTTCTGGGAAAGTATACAGGTTTTACGGAGAGGGGTTACAACGTTTTGAGAAATGTTTGGATTTGGAGAAGAATTGTTTTACTGACCCACTCAATTTTGGTTTTGCGCCCCTCCAGGTTCAGGAATCACAAAGGTGTGGTGACTACGAGGAATTCGACGGTGTTCTGACAGAATGGACAAAATTAGGACTCACCTTCGGGTGTATCAACTTATAAATTGTATCTTAAAGCTTCCGTACTGTGCAAATGGTTACGTCACTCTCACGTGACGGCCAGCATGCCCTCCTTTGGGACGGGGTGTGTCATAGGTTATGGGACTGGTTAGCCTTTTGCATAATTATCTCTAACTGTGGGTTTAGATCTTACCTTACTTGCATGACTCGGAATCTGGAAATTTAAGTAAAATAATGCTTTAGCTTTGTAAGTTGTGGGAATTGATTTTCGCACAACCTTTTTTTTTTCTCTCACACACACCTCTTTCGGTTGAACAAATTGAAAGAAAATCAAGTTCTATAATGGAGAGGTGTGTAGAAGGTGAAAAATGGTATGCAGAAATAACTCCGCGAAGTTGTTTGTTTTAATTTAAGAATATCATTATAATTTATAATAGGGGTGTGCTATCCACACACCCCATTTTACTTCTCACACACTCTTTGATAATTTTTGTCCGTTGATCTTCTTCAATTCATCCGATTTGACGGCCGAAAATTAAAAAGGTGTGTGAGAAGTAAAATGGGGTGTGTGGATATCACACCCCTTTATAATATTGCAGTTCCTTCTAAAGAGCGGTGTTTTGCAGTCAGGCTCTAGTTTCTCTTTGGCCTAAACTTTAATGCATGACATACATTGTTTAATTTAACGATTAGGAGCTGTGTTGAAGTATTTCAAGAGATTTAGGGATCGTTTGGTATCTCTTGAATCCAATTTTTTTGTTTTTAAAACTCATGAGTATTAAGTAATTTAGATTCATTCATCATTTATAAATTTAAAAAAAAAAAATGATGCAAGTAAAATACCAAATATGCCCTTAGAGAGTGAATTTACAAAAAAGAATTAGGGTGTTCCAGAATATGGGATACTTTGGGGTGTTTAAACCATTACAATGTGGTCGGATGAGGAAAGTAAATTTGAAATTTTGACAAAAATCATAATTATAAATTGATATGCACAAATTCTTTTGTTTGAATTTATAAACACAGAAACTCGCATGAATAAAAACTTGGAATTTGAAATTTCAATTTCCAAGTTTAAATTCCATGTAAATAGATATCATTTCCAAATTTCTATGAGTGTGTTTAAAAATAACAAATTCCGTATTTATATTTCATTGTTCTTTTAGTTAACCAAACAAGAAAATTCATAAATTCTAGAAAATAAAATTATGTCATTTCAAATTCCGTCATTTTAAAATTCCTTAACAATCTTAAACTTCCTCATCCAAATGGAGTGTTAAATTTTGGCTTTTGTATTTGGGAATTGTTATTAACATTCCAAAAATCTCATTTGGCACTCCAAACTTTCTATAATTAAAAAGAAAAATACACTTGTGAGAAGTGTAAAATAAAATTTTTAGAGTACTATTAACAGTTCCTTGTATTTAAACAAAAATTTAACAATTAGAAACTTAGAAGACACAAAATATCTCATACTACAAAATACCGTAGAAAATCCCGTAAATCTGAATACATTGACTGATTTATAATAGTAGGACTCCATCCGACATTGTCGTTGAGCTGGGGCATTAAGTGTACTGATGCTGCATCGGGACGGTGCAAGCAAGGGTTTCACTAAAATGGTTAGTGACAGTCTGTCCTCTATGGGGGTGGGTCTGCACTCTGCAGCGGATATATGGAATTAGAAATCTTTAGAGTCAGAGGTGCCTGGGCTGGGGAAGACCGCACACTACACGCCTTGCAGAAGTAGAGTGGAGGAAGCGTGACTGAACAGGTTTTTAATGGCTATGCCTTAAATATATCGAAGCCACTGTTCATATATGTAGCATTCTTATCTTCAATACCAAAAGTGAATATATATATATATATAGGTTTTTTATGCACAGGAATCTTCATTTTTTGAAAAAAAAATGAGGATTAGGTGTGAGGTTCATTCCATATCGAACTTCAACGATCCGAATTATTTATTTTGTAATCTCGATTCATAGATCATCTTTGCAAAAATTCAATTCAATTCGAAATCATTTGCCTATTTAATTATCAAGATAAAATTTCATTGTTTCTTATATAACAAAGTATTCGTTAATTTCTTTGAACCCAATTAGATGTTTTAAACATTTATATTTGTCTAATATTTTGCAAGAATGATCTATGAGATATAACTTGAAAAATAGACGTTTCGGATCGTTAAAGTTCGATGTAGTGTGGACCCCACAACTAATTATAAAAATAGGGATCCCTTACCTTAAAGATTTCCAATATATATATAGTTGTTAGTGAAAGTGGTAGGGTATGTTTGGGTGAGGAATTTGGAAGTTCCACACCTACTTAAACATTAAATTTGATTTTTAATTTTAACTCAATCATTAGCAGGAGTGATTTTCAGACACATTGAATCGAAAATAAATTTTAATTTTCATTCCAAAAGTTTTAGATTTGATAAAAAAAAAATTTATACTTCGAATTTTTGGATTGGTTTGAAATTGTGTATCAGAGTAATCTCGGAATGTTTGAAACATAATTAGAATATTCATATATTTTATAAGTTTTTGGATATTTTCGAACATTTTTGTATAAGCAATCTATTTTTCTTTCTTGATATTTTGTATGCCGGCAAATATATCTAATTAATTGTAATATACTATTATTTTATTATTTTTGATATATAAGTTTATAATTAATATAAAATTTATAAATGAAATGTATCTAAAGCTAACAATAAGATACAAAGTGAAAGGTCTTAGATTCAAATTTAGGATATGTTGAGTTCGCAACTAATTTATTCTCTAATTACTTAGTGTAAATATATCGTTTTGTAAAAAGTAAGGTTCTAAAAAACGCTAGACGCTAATCGGGCGGTAAGGTTTTAAAAACCGTTAGAAGCTAATAAGGCAAGGTTCTAAAAAGCGTTAGACGCTACCTAGCACCTAGGGATCTAGGCGAGTTTTTTCTAATTTTAATTAACTTGTTATATAACAATAAAAACATATAAATAAGTTACTACAATTAATTGAATACATAAATTATTTTCAAACCTTTAACCTAGAAAATAAAAATAAAAAGCTAAACTACCTCGGCAGCCACCTAATTCCTCCTAAAGGCTTCCCCCCCCCCCCCCACCCCCACCCCCCGGGCGGCTTTTTAGAACGATGATAAATGAAAATACATAACTTTTAGTGAACAACTATTTAAAATTTTAATATTGTAGACAAATTTTATGAGAATAAGTTTGGAACATTTTAGAATTTGTGAATGCATTCCCATTTTCATTTCCATCCAATCTATTTAGAAGTATTTGGAACAGAAATTTAAATGCGGAATCAAAAATCCCACTTTCAACTGCTCAACACATGCACAATATGTTGGTAATTACTAGTAAACCATGAAACAATTATGCTTGTTACACAAACAAAAGTAGTGGTTGGCGCAACTCAAATTAATTTAGGAATTGTTTGGTATTCAGTTTTTGTTTAATTTTTTAACTAAAAAATAATTTTTGAGTCCTGAGTTAATAATTCTTGTTTGTAGGATTATTTTTGAACCAAATTTATAAACCAAATGATTTGGTTGTTGATGATTGGATTATTACTTAAACGTTGATTAACGTTCTTATTTTCGACATATCATTTTATTTACAAATTTAGTTTAAAATTTTGGTCTCCCTAGCATTAGCCTTATGAAAAACTCAAAAAGTTTGTTCTTTAATTTTTTAGCAATAATGAATTATTTATTTTTTAGTAAGATACTAAACGGGCTTTAGAACACAACATATCACAACGTCAACTATGTTAACAAGTAAACTTTTGGGCACGATATCAAATTGTTATGCTCGTCAGTTGAGATCAAAATGGTAGAAGAGGGGAGTAAGAATCTGTGTTGGAAAACAATTATGAATCAATCAAACATAGACAAATGTTAGAATAAAAATACAGAAAATAACGTATTCTTCTTTACTTACAAGTGAGATGTATTTGATTCGAGTCATATTATTGCTAGTCCATAGTGAGGCTTAACCAACTTCTCCATTCTTTAATGTAGATAATATCGTTTGTTAAAAAAATTAAAAAATTAAAAAAAAAGAAGACAATAATGCATTCGAAATCCAATTATAAACGAGTGGTGGAGGCTTGTAAATTTTGTTATCCCATACCCGCTCATGATTGTAGTTCAATAGCGGCCCTGTGTCCGAGGAGGGAAAACTAAAGTCGGCCTATACTTGAAAATTGAAATGATTCCTTGACTTGTGGAAAAATAGAGGGGAGAGTGAAGGCAGTTGTTTGTTTGTTTGTTTTTTTTTTTGCATGAAATAAAAAATATTTATTGCTTTGTTTTTATGACAATTAGTGTATTTTCAACATACTTTGTGCATGAAAAAAAACACATACTTTGTACATGAATAAGAAAAGGCATGAGAAATCATTTTCACAATTTCGAAAGGCAGTCAAAGAGAAGGGAATTGAGTCATGCCACACAATACATGAGTCAAAATTAAGTATCAAATTGAAGACAAATATTAAACATCCTCGTTAACCATATGGATACCTGTAAAAAGTATATTAGATTGTACAATTTTTTTTTAACAATATTAGATTGTTAGTTGGTAAGAAAATCAGTATTTAAAATAAGAGTAAATTGTAGTAATGATCTCTCAACTTTAATCTCTCTCAAAAAAAAAAAAAAAAAATTAAATCTCTCTCTCTCTCTCTCTCAAAAAAAAAAAAAAAAACCAATTGGAGTAATGGTCTCTCAAGCAAAAATCTATTACCAATAGTCCTTCAACTCATCAAAACGTGCATCAATTGTCTTTTTCGCCAACTTCGTTAGAACTTCCGTCAAAATGAGTTACGTGTCATGCACATGAGGCTGAATTAAGAGGCAAATATAGAAAATCAAATAAGAAAATTTGTATTAATTGTCCCTCAACTTTAATCCAATTGGAGAAATGGTCCCTCATCTTTAACCAAATTAGAGCAATGATCAATCAACTTTAAATCAATCCAATTGTGGCAATGGTCTTTCCAATGTAACTCATTTAGACAGAATTCTGACGGAGTTGACGAAAATTACCATAGATACACGTTTTGATGAGTTGATAGACCAATGATAATTTTCAGTTGAGAGAATATTGTTTAATTTGATTAAAGTTGAACGACTATTGTTACAATTTACGCTTAAAATAAATAAGTAAAGGACACATTTGACACTCAATTAAATAATAGTAGAAGAAATGGACGCTTCCTTTGCCTTTGATCCGGGCAGGTGAAAAAGAAATGGAGCTTTTAGATGTCTGCACTGCCCCAAATGCTGGACTAGCCTAGTGCTTCCCCGGCTCGGATTTTCCTCTCTCTCTCTCTCTCTCTCTCTCTCTCTCTTCAGAGACACTTGCATTAGAAATTAGGAAGGAAGGTATGTTTCTCGGTCTCACACCGTCACACAATTGTTAACATTTATGGGTTTATTTAAATTCGTTTTCTTTTTCGGGGTCTGGTTATTTTAATCTGTAATTATTGTTTTGTAGATGACGAGCAACAACAGGGAAGAAGAAGAGGTTGTGTCTGGGACATTCACATGGGTGATCGAAAACTTCTCTAAGCTCAACAACGACAACCTTTTCTCTGACGTTTTCACCATCGCTGGTTTCAAATGGTATTATTTTATTTTATTTTATTTTTTTGTTCTTTTGGAGCTTCTTCTATTTACATTTCCTCCATTTTTTATATAATAACCACACACCATATTATATATATATATATATATATATATATATTATTATTTTTTTTTGTATCGTTGTTATATTTTGGAAGAGACCTTAAGAAAAGACTTAGAGTACTTGGATCTAACGGAGGACATGACACAAAACCGAGCGCAATGGCGTTCTAGGATTCATATAGCCGACCCCACTTAGTGGGAAAAGACTTTGTTGTTGTTGTTGTTGTTGTTATCGTTGTTATATTTGATTTATTCAATTCGATTATTTAGTAAAAGAGAAAAAAGTGTGCGGTTATCATTTTTCTTTTTACGCGTCTAAGGATTTGTTCAAACAAACTGCAAGTTATTATTTATTTTAACCTAAAAAAAGCTACTGATTATTTCTCAATACAGCCATTTAATATTAATGTCTAGTAATATTCTTCTTCATAAATAAGAGAGGTGTTAGATTTAACTCATGATAACGGCAAGTTAATACTAATTTATTTTGTTTGACCTATTGTATGGCTTAATCAAAATTCATCATTCCTTATCATAAATATATCGTTAATCGTTCAATAAATAAAAAAAATAAAAATAAAAACTACAGGCCGAACTAAAAGAAAAAAAACGAAAAGGGAAACATGAACCAGGTAAACCTAGCACGGCCCATAAGGCCGAACTTGGTCCAAGATTATTACATTGTGCCGTATCATGCATATGTTTGTAGTTCTTTTCCCTCTAATTATAAGCAAATATTGTGAGGGGGGGATTCGAACTCGAAACTCAGGTGCAAGGGTGAATGATGTTTTCAGTATTTTACTAGCTTTGGTTTGGTTTGGTTTGGTTTGAACAGGAGGATCCTTGTTGTACGTCCAAAGTGGTTATCCGACCAAGATCCTAATGGCCTAGTCCAGTTGGCCATATATTTGGGCATTGCCGATGCTTCAAGCTTGGCACCTGGATGGAGTAGATATTCCAGCTTTAGCTTGACCCTGGTCAATCGACTTGACACCAACAAGTCAATCACAAAGCCTGCAACCGGTATTGTTCTACCCTCGAGTCCATCTCTTTTCATTCGCATTCATGCTTGTATAACATTTTCAGAACAAATGTATTCTCTTGATTTGGATGAGTTGTTTCTAACTAGTAACTACATTCTTCTATTGTGGTAGTAACAAATTAGGATACCGTTGGATAGAAAGATTAAAACGAGGGATTTGGATTGATTTTCTAACTTTCATCACTCATGGAGAGGTGAACCATATACGCATTTTTTTTTTACTCATCCCTTCCCTTTTTGGAGAGACATTCATGTGATATCCGCCTGATTTGCTTTTTGACGACATATTTCTTCATATCGTTAGGGCGTGTAATGCCATGCAGTTTGTAGAAATATAATGTTGATGTAGCAGGAATTAATAATTTTTAGTTGATGTTTTTTGGCTCAAAGTTTATGACAAATTAATCCCCTACAAATTCAAGAGGGGATTATTTAGAGTATTGAAGGTTTTGAAACCATACTCAAGGCTCTAGAAGACATGTTCAAAACAAAACAGGGGTGATAGTATGTCATGCTAATCATGCCAAGCACAACATGTTTTTCCTTTCCTGCTGGCTCAGACATGGCATCATACGGATACAAAGAGCGACCTGAGCTGGGCATGATTATCATTTATACTCCTTCTTGGGAACCGTTGGACAATAAATCGAAAGTTTTGAGATTTGGGGTCAGTTATAATATTTGGTTTACTAGTTAATATGTTTGAATATGTGATTTGGTTTTTCAACGAAGAGTTTCTGTGTTTGTGTGTGTGAATATGTATGTGGCTATTATTGCTGGTAGCCTTAATCATTGATTGAATTCCTCTATGTCGGTAATAGACTTCTATTGTAATCTCGGAATGTACTTCATCTTTAATTAATTACTTGGTGATGAGCTTTGCATTCTTGATTATTTGCTTTCGTTTCCTCGATAACAGGATCTGTAAAAGAGTTCACAGAAAACCACAAGGAGTGGGGCTTCAAATCCTTCATCCCTCTCATCAAGCTTTATGACAGCGCTGCGGGTTATCTTGTGAATGATACATGTATTGTTGAAGCCCGGCTTAATGTCTCAATTAGGATTGGAGACCAAGGAAGTAATGTTTCTGCAAGTACGGATCACTCAGAGAAAGAGCATAAAGCGCAGGAACCTTTGGTTCTGAATTCTAAAGCTGAAAACTCTTCACCGGCGCCTAAAACACCATGTTCTGAATTCCAGCATACACCAGATTCTGAAAAAGTTTGCACTGAACCTGCTGATGGTGGCCCTACTGAGCCTTCTCTGGTCAAGGAACTCGGGGAATTACCCACGAACCTAACGGGTGAGCTTATGGAATTTAGGGGTTTAGGACAAATCGAGAAAGCTTTTATTCCGCTGCTAGAGGAAGTTTGTTCGTTGCATCCTTCATTGATTGAGAGCATGCAGAAGAGAAATCGTATGGTTGTTGAATGTGCATTCACAACTTTAGGGGGACTCTTGCATTTTCTGAAGACTACGAAGGTGAAGGATATGACTGAGGATGCCTGTTCATGCCTTCAAAGCTTATGGGAGGATGTCCATATGTTCAAATTTGACTTGGCGTGGCTGGAGACTCATGTTCAATCAGCTTTGGACATGAAGAAGCTACTGGAAAGGTCAAGGAGAGTGAAAAGACTGAGAGAAGATGTGGAGATATTGGATAATGAGATGAAGAGGCGGAGTGCTGCGCTAGCTGTGACAGAGGTGGATCTTGAGATAGCGAAAAGAGACTTGGAAAAGGAGGAAAAGGGCATCGCCGCGATAGATATGGATAGCGAGCTAGGTTATGGGATGCGTTAGCCTTATTGAAGTTTCTCATCCTGTAGGACAGTTAGTGTAAGTTGCAGGACAGATATGTCGAATACATACATATTATATTTTTGAAGGTTGCAGGGACTATAATTTGGTGACCTTCATCAACTCCCGGCATGATCGATTAGGCGGGATACCATGGTTGATAGGTATTATGCATTTGTTGAAGCTGTACTTGAATTTTCTTGTGTTGAAAATGCATAGTGCTCGGACATGTTTCTATGAAATTGAAAGCCTTTCTGTTTCTTAAAATTGCGCTTCATATTTCTTGATTTTATTGATATTAAGAATATCTTGAGGATCTTAGATTGCTTGTCACGTATGACTCAAACAGTCCCCGCACTCACGAGTCGGTTGTGCCGATATTAGGCCACTTTAGCCACTCAAAAGAAACGAGTATGAAGTTTTATCAAAAGATCTCAACAATATGTGTGTGTTGTACTATGATTTATAAAGCACTAAATAATTCTACCTCTGGCCGAGGTGGGACTCAAATGCGGCTCTAATCTAAGCCACCAAACTCCAACACCACACGAGCCTTGAAATCGTTAAAAATTAAAATATCGGGAGTGATTGAGCTGGTCGATCTTGATTTGCTAGTGTTTGGACTGCTGCTGGGTTTTACTCTGCTTGTTATCTTGATTTGGGGTGGCTTGGGTTTCACTCCAAGTCATCCCCCAACTATGTAGTTTATCTTCTGGGCTTATGATTTAAGTCAATTATTTGAAACGTCACGTGTGTTTTTTCAATGAAAGACTAACATAAATTTTGATGTATATCGTTATTGTTAATAATGTGTTCAATTTAACAATATTTTTTTTACAATAAGGGCAGTGTTTGAAAATTTTTCGATAAAAAAAATTACAAAAAGATATGAAAAATGGATCAAAGTCAAAACTTCACCCTACATGGAAAAATTCATAAATTTCAAATAAAATCGACATATTTTTTTGATATTTCCAACCAATATTGTTATCGATATCAATATTTCTGAAAATTTGCATATCGATATTCCCACCGATATTGATATTTTAAATAATGAACAAGGATCACATTAAAAATGAAGTAGTATTACCACATGGACTGCGGAAAAAAAAATAGCCAAAAAAAAAAAGAATAATGTCAGGAAGATTACATTTTCTGGCCACATTCATGTACCACGTGTTACGACAAATTGACATATATACGACATCGAATGAGATAAAATCATTAATTGAGCTAACAAATATACATCATTTTCCACACATGCGGTACATGAATGTGATAAAAAAAAAATTGTATCTCTTACATTTTCCGGCCAAAATAAAGATTAAACTCGTGTTTATTTTTATTTAATATTTTATGGGTCTCGGTAGACAGCGAAGATAAGGGTAGGATCACTTTGGACATTGTTTGAGAGACTGGGGCCAGTATAAATGGGAGGTTTTTTTTGGTGTTGTCCGCACGGTCCCCCGTGCTGCAGTGTGAGCTCTGCAAGGGAGTGAATACTTTCATCTCTCTCTAGAACCGTGGGGTGGGGGTTGAAGGTTCCTCTCTCTCTCTATCTCTCTCTCTCTCTCTCTCTCACCGTCGATCATGGTTAGTTTGGTGTGATGGACCGGGGGGAGCATTTACATGAAACATTTTTTTGTGGGTATTATTTAATAATTTGAATATTTTGTTTTGTAGATGACGAGCAACAACAGGGAAGATGAAGAGGTTGTGTCTGAGACATTCACATGGGTGATCGAAAACTTCTCTAAGCTCCAGAACGACAAGCATTACTCCGACGTTTTCACCATCGCTGGTTTCAAATGGTATTATTTTTATTATTTTCTCAAAATTTGTTTAATTAATTTTAATTTTGGTTCTTTTTAGATCCTTCAAGATCGCTTTTTTATGAGTCCATCGACCCAAGAGCAGCTTTAGATTCACTTGTCATGGTTTATTTTTCTTAATTTTATTAATTTATTTATTTATTTTTTTACAATTTGTCATGGTACAACCTACTATTTAGAAACTCCATTCCAATATAAAAAATGAAAGAAAGAGAGAAAATTTCCAGATTAAAAAACAAAGAAATAAAAAATGAAAATAGGAATCATCTAGAAGGTTCCACCAGTGACATTTTTCACTTGGACCATCTTCAACTCTTCGGTTGAAAATTTTAAACTCAGAAAATTTGGGTTTTAACTCGGGAACAATTTTTTTGCTTCAATGGTTATGAATTAAAATTTTAACCCAAGATTGTTAAAGAATAAATTTAGGTTTTTGCGGTAACTTTTTTCAAAATAAAATTAATGTAGATTATCATTATTTATTTTTATGAACATTTTAATCTAAAAATATTAAATATTTTTTTATTGTTTTAGCCATTCGATTTAATTTGGGCTGTTATGTTTGATCATATACGATCACAGACGTCGAATGAAGTGGAAGAGTGCATCCGACGTGTTGTGTGACCGCCGTATGCCACTTAAGCTCAAGGAAAATTTTTATAGGATGACAATAAGACCGGCGATGCTGTATGGCACATAATGTTGGACGGTGAAGCATCAACACGTACATAAAATGGGTGTAGCAGAGATGAGGATGCTTCGTTGGATGTGTGGGCACACGAGAAATGATAAGATTAGGAATGAGGATATCCGAGGTAAAGTAGGAGTCGCCGAAATTGAAGGAAAGATGAGAGAAAATCAGTTACGGTGGTTTGGACATGTGCAAAGAAGGCCTACTAACGCTCCGGTTAGAAGATACAACTACAGGACAAAGGTCTAGGCCGAAGGGGTAGAGGAAGACTTAGGAAAACTTTGGAAGAGACTTTAAGAAAAGACTTAGAGTACTTGGATCTAATGGAGGACATAACACAGAACCGAGCGCAATGGCGTTCTAGAATTCATATAGCCGACCCCACTTAGTGGGAAAAGGCTTTGTTGTTGTTGTTACGCAAATTTTAGGTTTTAACCCAAAACTTATTTTAAACCCAACTATTGGAGAATGATTAACTTAGTTTAAAATCTAAATTTTGATGAGCCAACCATTAACACTGGCCTAAATTTTGGGTTAAATTTGCCCAAAATTAAGGTTTTAACCCAAAACATATTTTAGGCCCAATCATTGGATAATGATTGGGTTAATTTTAAACCTAAATTTTAGTTTTCAACCCAAAAGTTGGAGACGGTCTAATAGAAGCCCAATAGATGCCATAAGACTTTAGGGTCATGACCTGCAATTTTAACATTGTGCTCTTTTGGTTTGATAATTTTGATTTGGTCAGGAGGATCCTTGTATGGCCGAAGGGCAACAAAGTAAATTCGAAAATGCAGTTCTCCATGTATTTGAGTATCCCAAGTGCTTCAACTTTGGAATCTGGCTGGACTAGATTTGCCCACTTCAGCTTGAGTGTGCTCAATCAACTCGACAGCAACAAGACAATCACAAAGTTTACCAAGGGTATTTCTTTTACTCTTCATGAATCATGTTTCTGTTCTTTCTATGTGATCTTTTCGTTGTGGCAATCGAAACTCATTAAATGGATTCGCTTGCGCTTTCCATCCTGATTCTGTTTAAGGGAATCAGAGTGCGTTTCTAGTATAACACTTTACATTGTTTAACTGATCGTTATCATTTGCACAACACGTCATTGTATCAAGTGAAGGTGCTTTTGGAAAGAAAGAGTTAAGACAAGGGATTTGGAGTTCCTAGTATAAATTGTTTAACTGATAGCAATCACTTATGCGACACACGTTGTTGGTTGTAATAAGTTATGGTGCATTTGGATTGATTTATGCAACAAGCGTCGTGCATTTGGATAGAAATAAAACAAGGGATTTGGAGTGTGTTTCTAGTATAAATTGTTTACCTGATCATTATCATTCATGCGACACGTGTCATTAGTTGTAAAAAGTTATGGTGCATTTGGACAGAAAGATTTCAAACAAGGGATTTGGAGTGACCTTCGAGTAAAATTGTGCAACTGATCGTTATCAATGAAACTGTAATTTTGATTTTCTCTGTTAGTTTGAATGTGTCGTCAAGAAAAAGTCTAGAATTTCTCTTCCTTTAAGCTTTGGTGCTGATAATATTTAGTGGATCCCAGACTCTGATCAGTTTTACATATACATATATATATATATATATTGTTGCCGATATTATATGAGATTTGCTATCGCATTGGGACACTGGTGGCAGCTTAGCTTTTATTTTTTCTTAGAACTTTCTGTTTTGAAAGCTAACAGAGTTATGCCTGGCTTAAGTACGTTTACACATGGAAGGAAGTCCATCTGCAAATATCTTATCAGCATTAGTTCTTGATCATTTCTTAGAACTTTCTGTAGTAAACTCTGAAATGGACTTCCTTTATTGTTGTTTCCGCATTACCTGGTGATGTGCTTTGCATTCTTGATTAAGGTTTTGTATTCCTTGATTTTTTTGTTCACAGGCTCTTATAAAGAGTTCAAAGAACACACGAGTGAGTGGGGCTTCAGATCATTCATGCTGCTTAGTGAACTTTATGACGAGACTGCAGGTTATCTTGTGAATGATACGTGCATTGTTGAAGTGAAGGTCCATATTCCAATAGACCAGCGAGCTAATAGTTCTGCAGAATCTGCACTTATGCAGTCTATAAAGAAAGAGCATGTTGGGCAGGAACGTTCACATGTGCATTCTGTGCAAACTGTAGAGTCTTCTCCAGCACCTATTATGCCAAGTTCAGAACCGCTGACTCCTTTCCAAGAAACATCAGGCCCTGAACAAGTTTGCGCTAAGGCTATTATTAAAAGCCTTCCTGACCCTTCTCTGGTCAAGGAGTTTGGGGAAGTTCCCACCAAACCAACAGGGGGAGTCAAGGAACTAGGGGAAGTTCCCACCAAACCAACGGGGGAAGTCAAGGTCAAGGAGCTTGGGGAAGTTCCCACCAAACCAATGGGGGAAGTCAAGGTCAAGGAGCTTGGCGAAGTTCCCACCAAACCAACGGGGGAAGTCAAGGAGCTTGAGGATGTTCCCACCAAACCAGCGGGGGAAGTCAAGGAGCTTGCGGAAGTTCCCACCGAACCAACAGGTGAGCTTATGGATTTTCGTGGGTTGGGACTAATAGAGAAAGCTTTCGTCCCACTGCTGGAGGAAGCTTGTACAGTGCATCCTTCGTTGATTGAGTGCGTACGTAAGAAGAATCGCAAAGTTATTGAATGTGCTTTGACAACTCTTGGAGGGCTCTTGCATTTTCTTAAAACAAAAAAGGTGAAGGATATGAATGAGGATGCCTTTGCTCAGCTTCGAAGTTTATGGGAGGATGTCGAGATGTTCAGATTTGACTTGGGGTGGCTGGAACCACTTGTTCAATCTGCTTTGGGTAAGAAGAAGTTTCTGGAAAGGGCAAGGAGAGTGAAAAGGCTGAGGGATGATGTTGAAGTTTTGGATAATGAGAAGAAAAGGCGGAGTGCTGCACTTGTGGTTACAGAGGTAGAGCTTGAGGAAGCAAAGAGAGAGCTGGCAAAGGAGGAAGAGGGCTTCAACGAGAAAGATATGGATTCTGAGCTAGCTGTGGTGAGTTAGCCTTATTGTAGAAGTTTCTCTTTGACATATGAGAGAGATAGACATGGGTAGTGAGTGAGTCATGGGAACCGTTAGCCTTATTCTAGAAGCTATCTTAGATATGAGTAATAGGACGGATGTGCGGGGATATATATTTCATGATTTAGTACTAATTTGGTGCACCTCCATCAACCCCCTGGTACTAATTTGCTAGAAGAAGAGATCTCAAGTTCGAATCTAACAGTCTAAGAAGAAAAATATTTTGCATGATCGGACATTTTCATTTTATAGATTAAACAATTAAAAGCTCAAGCTACTTTTCTCAAGTAAAAATGGACCATCTCAAACTCAAATCTTATATTTGAGTCCAAACCTCTCTGCAAGGCAACATTATGGCCAAGGTACTCTACAAGGCAAAATCAGGCGGTGCTGCCGGCTAGCCCTCCTTGCTAAAGCATTATTGACGTTTGATGCACGATCAGGATGAATGCTCGGCTATCAGACAGATCCATATTGGTGACCCAAGAAGGAATGATAGGCTGATTTGGCCAGTTGACAAACGATGACAAAGTTGAGTCCGACGGCCTTACTCCTCCATAGTCATCTACACAAAAATTTGGGAGCGGATTTAGAAAGTGGAGGTTCCACCAAAAATTCAAAACTTTACGTGGAGAGTTATTGGACAAGCAGTAGTGACAAAGGTGGGGCTTTTTCGAAGATCTCCTCCTTTGTCCATGGATGGATTCGGTTTGGTTTGGTTTGGTTTGGTTTGGGGGCAATTAAATTACAAAGTTGATAGACACTCAGTTACTACATTCGATGCTTGGCTTTTGGTTTGGTTTGGTAGAGTTCTTGCCAAATGTCAACTAAAAGAACTAAGATTTGAGTTTTGACTCCGATCGTCGTCAATGCACATATCTTTATTTGTCAATTTGAGTTTTGAGTCTTATGACAACAATGTTGGAGGAGGGAGCGGGGGGTGATAGTTGGAGGAGGAAGCATGGTGGAGTTGACAGTTGGAGCCTGGAGGAGGGATTGAAAGTATGGTCAATGGAGGTCAGAAGTTGGAGGAGATTAGAGTGAAAATGAAATCAAACGACTAATACAAAAAAATAAACATCTGAGCTGAAAAATAGAAAATCTAACAGTTGTGGAAATCGAACCTAACGACTAATACACCCACAACACTCAAATGACCTTTTCTCGAAGAAAAAAAAAGTTTTGAGACTTGATTTTGACTTGGGTAATATTTCAAGGACCAAATCAACAATTTATTCAATAAGTTAATTTGAAACTAAAATTTCAATTTATCTTAAATGTACGTGTAACACTAAGTGATATGAAAAATAAATTATTGAGTTGAACATCTCATAGTTGTGGAACTCAAATCTAACGACTAATGCTCCCATAGCACTCAAATGAACTTTTTCTCGAAAAAAAGTAGTTTAGAGACTTGATTTTTACTTGGGTAATATTTCAGGTACCAAGTCAGCAATTTACTCCAAAAGTTAATTTTGAAACTAAATTTTCAATTTCTCTTAAATTGTACGTGCAACACTGAGTGATATGAAAAATAAATTGTTGAGTTAAAAAAATGAACATCTAACGGTTGTGGAAATCAAATCTAACGACTAATGTGCCCATAGCACTCAAAATGACTTATTCTCCAAAAGTTAATTTCAATACTAAATTTACAATTTTTTTTAGTGGCACGTAACATTAAGTGATATGAAAAATAAGTGACCAAGATTAAAAATGAAAATTCAAAAATTATGAAAATCAAATCTAATGATCGAAACACCGAGGATTTATACATAGTATTGAAGCCACACTCCTAAATTTGACTAATTTCATAAATTTTATTGGATATTTTCAAGAAAGTCAAAATTTAAAATCCAAGTGAAAATGAGGGTCCAAAAAAATAAGTGAAAAATGAGGAACTTTTAATTTTTAAAAGTATAAATTGGGCTAGATGGACAACATTTGGCAAAACATAGTAACATGCGAGTCGACGGTTTAAAGTTAGACCCAGTAAAAAAAGGTAGTATCCGGAACTGAAGTGGTGCGCTCTCTGTCTCCTCTCTCTCTCTCTCTGTCTCTGTCTGAAAGTCGCCAACGGAGAAATAAGCAGCTATCAACCGAAAATGCAAAGAGGTCAGAACGTCCTTATACTTGTTGTTTTCCCCTTCAAGCTTTCGTGCATGGAAATCTGCTTTTCTAAATCTTAGACAAATACCCATATCAGTATCATGTTCTAGATCTCATTTTCTGTAGATTTCAGCTCGAGTTTTGCTGTCCTGTTTAAATTATGAAACTTTTAAGTAATGTGTGGCGTCGTTTGTGATATTGTCTTGCAGATGTACATGTTTAAAGTGAAAACTTTTGTTTCTCTGAAAAAAAATGAGAAATGAAATTAGGGTTTAGACAACCATCGCAGTCACCCAGAAGTTGAAGAGAAATTAGGGCTTTTGGGGTTTGTCGGAAAAGCGAAAAACTTTAGTTTAGGGTTGATTTGTGGACAAGGGTTTGTGATGGAAGGAGGGTCAAGCCACAACTTCGTTCCTCCTTCAGCTGGGATTGATAAGTCAAGGGTTTTGGATGTTAGACCTCTGCGTAGTTTGATGCCGGTGTTCCCAGCTACGTCTCAAGCCCCATCCTTTCCGGGCATGCCTCCCTTTGGCCATACCCCTAATGGGTTTCCTCCGTTTTACCCGTTTAACGTACCACTATCTCAGGCCTCACCTGATCTAAATAGTGAGATGAGGACACCAACCGGTCCCATGCCCGCTCCTATCCGGTCATATAGAGCTCCAGCCCCATCTGGCTCCGATGACTTTCCAGAGGATTCCAATGGAGAAGGGTTCTTTGATCCTCATGTAGGTTCTAGTGCATCTCGAAAGAAGACCTCAAAAGCTAGTTCATCTCGAAAGAAGACCAAGAAAAATGGAGATGGCGGTTCAGTAACAAACAATGGGTCAGGCGTGACCTTTGTTCCTGTTATGAGTTCATTTCAAATTGAAGATGGTAACAGGGAGTTGGTTAATTATGTACTCATGAATTTTGATGCACTCCGGAGAAGGATCTGTCAAATTGAAGAAAACAAGGAAACGAAAACTGGGCTTATTAAGCGTGCAGATTTGAAAGCTGGTAACATTTTGATGAGCAAAAAGGTTAGGACAAACATGAGGAGGAGAATTGGGGTTGTCCCTGGAGTTGAGATTGGCGACATTTTCTTTTTCCGAATGGAAATGTGTGCGGTTGGATTACATGCTCCATCGATGGCTGGAATTGACTACATGACTGGCAAGGGTGATGGTGAAAAAGATCCGGTGGCTTTAAGCATTGTTTCTTCAGGAGGCTATGATGATGAGGCAGAGGACAGCGATGTCTTGATATACAGTGGTCAGGGTGGAAATAGCAACAACAAAGACAAAGATAGGGAGGTGGCTGATCAGAAGCTTGAAAGGGGTAATCTTGCTCTTCAGAGAAATTTGCATCATGGCAATGAAGTACGAGTGATTCGGGGCATGAAAGAAGATGTTAATTCAATGACAAAGATCTATGTCTATGATGGCCTATATAAAGTTCATGAGTCATGGACAGAGAGGGGGAAAGCTGGTTGTAATATATTCAAGTACAAGCTGTTAAGGGTGCCTGGACAGCCACCAGCTTTTGCAGTTTGGCAAACTCTTCGTAAGTGGAAGGATGGTTTTTCCTCAAGGGCTGGACTTGTTCTTCAAGACCTCACTTCAGGGACTGAACCTGTACCTGTTTCCCTTGTAAATGAGGTTGATAATGAAAAGGGGCTGGCTTCTTTCACTTATTTCCCTACACTCAAATATACTAAATCATTCAGTCTCATGCCACCTTCTTTTGGCTGCAATTGCCGCAGTGCATGCCAGCCAGGTGATATGAATTGCTCTTGCATTCAGAAAAATGGAGGTGATTTTCCTTATACTAGCAATGGGATTCTAGTCAGCCGTAAACAATTGTTACATGAATGTAGTCCTACGTGTCCATGCACTCCCAACTGCAAAAACCGGGTATCCCAAACTGGTGTAAAATTGCGGCTGGAAGTGTTTAAGACAAGGGATAGGGGTTGGGGCCTCCGGTCATGGGATTCTATTCGTGCTGGTGCTTTTATTTGTGAGTATGCTGGTGAAGTTATAGATGAAGCGAAGTTAAAACAGAAAGAGGGTGGAGGTGAAAATGATGAATATATTTTTGACACAGGCCGTGATTATGAATCGTTCAAGTGGAGTTATGAACCTGGATTACTAGAGGAGAGTCCTCATGATGTTAATGAGGATTATAACATTCCATATCGCCTGATCATAAGTGCGAAGAATGTTGGGAATGTAGGTCGGTTCATTAATCACAGTTGCTCACCAAATGTTTTTTGGCAACCAGTTGTATATGAACACAACAATCAGTCTTTTGTCCATATTGCTTTTTATGCCATCAGACACATTCCCCCTCTGACAGAGTTGACATATGATTATGGGACAAGTTCTACTGAAGCTGGCAGTAACAGTGGACCGAACAGGAAAAATAAATGCTTATGTGGATTGTCAAAATGCCGGGGTTATTTTGGTTGATCATGTAGGTTCTAAAACATACTGCTGCAGTTCCAAACGTGATCCTGGTGAGAATGACTGGAACTTTGTCTTGTTTAAATGTTTTTGAACGTAGCATAGCTGTAGTATTGTTGTTTTATCTTTCAATCTATGGTCGATGGTTTAGGTTCCACCAACAGACCATCATGGTGCCGACAAACGTGATCCTGGTTAAGAAGTCTGGAATCTCCATCATGTTTATATGCTTCTGAACTTAGCATGACTCTGAGTTTGTTTATCTTTCAATCTCTAGGGGAGACATGCTTGCGTACTCTAAGTTCCCGTCTTTTATATGTATTTCTTATATAAAAGCTCTCTGCATGGCAGTTCATAAATGCAATCTTGGATATATGTGTAAGAAGGCTTATGCTACGGATTCAAGAAACTTTGTATTTGGAGTCTGCTTGAATTTCTAATAAATAATATTGCGAGATTATGTTATAGAACTGGGCAAGTTATGTACTTGTGTTAGGAAGGAAACAGATGGATGGAATTATAGTTTAGTTATTGCTTGACTGTTCAGTTTTCACGTTTGCTCTGATCGTACTCAAGTTTGGAGGTTCATTTACATTCTTGTCTGCAAGTTATCCTTATTTATATCAACCTCGTACAACCAAACCGAAAACTTCTTTTCATGACATATTCAGCCTACCTAA